CCCCCCGGCAGGTCCCTGCATGGCCAAGGCAGCTGGCTGGTGGCCCTTTCTCAGGTGCTTCTTGCAGGCTGACACCACGCAGTGGCCTCTGCTGGTCCTCCTCAGCAGTGAAGGTGGTTTCTGCCAGGAGAGGTTGGAAAAGAACCTGAGGAACAGCCATCTTTCCTCCCCTTCAGCTGAACTCATGCTGCCTGCTGCCCTTCACGCAGAGCAAGTCACAGCCCTCAGCATGCGGCGGAGTGAGAGAGCTGGGCCCTCGGAGGGTCCCTCCCACCTCTCTCCCTTGTGCTCAGTGGCAGGGAGGACAGTGCTGGGAGCTACAGGTGGTGTCTCCCTCAGCTCTGATCCTCGGAGCCAGGTGGGTCCATGTTCCTCAGCAGAAGGAGCTGTGCTTACTTCTCCCAGCAGTGTTGCAACAGAGGTCTGGCATCCCAAGTGAGGACATTTCCTGAAAGAGCAAGGAGGCCTTCTTGGCAGCAGTGGCTGAACTTGTTTATCTGAGCACACACAGCCTCTGCTGCTGTCAGCACCCCGGAGGAGAGCGTCAGTGGGGCAGGGCAAGATCTGGGACAGTCATGGCACGCTCCCTTTAAGGAGCCACAGATGCCACTGAGTCCGAGCTGCAGTTTCAACTGTTTGCTTCTTGCTTTTCTTGCTGCACTGCTTAGGACTTCATGGCACACAAGTGAGGGTAGGAGCACTCACCTGTTGTTGGGGTTTTTTTTAAACTAATTTTTGTTTTCATTTGCAGCAGGTGAAACCACAAAAAGAAGGAAGGTGCTACCCTGTCCCTTTGCTCTGTGATAGACCTCTATTACTGCAGATGTGCCAGGGCAGTTGGGATCTGGCTGCAGAAGGGCATCATTTGTTCAGCCCCTGGTGGCTGTGGAAAAGACAGCACATTGTCCCAGCTGATCCAGGCAAGCAAGCCTGGCAAGGGGAGTACCCATCCCTCAGGTTTTTCCTGAGAGGCAGCTTTCGTAGGAAAGATACCATGGACTTCAGGACACAGGTGATTTGGGTGTTTTCTTTCCAGCACACACTTCCGACAGCCACAGCCTGCAGGTTTGGTGGCAGCCTAAACATGGCAGGAGCCACATCCAGGGGCTGGTCAGGCCCAGGCCACTTCTGTTGGAGGAAGGCTCTAGGGGAGAAAACCCAGAGCGATGAGTAAGAGAAGTAGATCTGGTCTTTTGTGTGAGTCTTTGTGGTCTCACAGAAATCCTTCAAAGAACTCTCCTCAGCATCAGAAAACTCCTGGGATTTCTGTGTTGCCAGAAAAAAGTCCTCAGCAATGGGCAATCAGTGTCTGTATCTAAACACTGTCTTTGGGCTACCAAGGTTCTTGGACAGTTTTCCCATGGGGAGTTTTTCCAAAAGACAGGCTTTTTTCCCTTTTTAAGCAGTTTCTGTGGGGGACACATCCTGGCTCAGTTGAGCGGGAAGGGACAGCGAGAGATTTGGGCATGAAGGCTTGACCTGTGCCCTGTTTCCCTCTAGGAAGGAAGCAGGACTGTCTTTGTGGCAGTGAGAGGAGATCACCAGCACAAAATTACTTCTGTGCTGGCAGAAGATGAGGCTTCTCCCAACTTGATCTCCCTGGAGCAACACATAGATCCCATTTCAGTGAAAGCAGAGTGTGCCTCCCCATCCAAACTTGCCGCAGGGCCTGTCTTCATCAAAGCCCCCACTCTCCAACCCCAGACCATCCTTCCCACAGGAACTCCTGGATATACTGTATGTGAAAGAGCTGAGTTTATATATGGACCAGCTGCCAGCAAGAAAGCATGCTGAAGGAAGCCCTAGACACTGGAGGCATGTTGGCTGGGAAAGCCAAGCTGTGCACCTGCTGGCAGTGATTGTGAAGGTGAATTCTTTTGATTTCGGGCTGGAAGAACTCGCTGCTGTGCTGCAGGTCCCACTTCAGTGACTGGCTTTGGGCTAGCCAGGAGCCCACACTAAAGCCACAGTGTAGCCAAACTCTGTTTCTCAGACTTACAATTCCAAGTTTGGCATTTCTCTTCTCTGTCTCCTTCTCTGTTCGTCTTGTTCTACCGCTGTTTTCTGGCATGCCCATGGAAAACTCACTTTATGCTCTTCCTGAGTGTTCTCCTCCAGGAGGCACACTGAGATTTAGGGGAGAGCAGAGGGCAGAGAAGAGTGGGGAGTCCTGTTAGCAGGCTAGCACAAGTTTGCTTGGCCCATATCCTGGCAGCTGCCTGCTCTATCAGTGTTGATGGGTAGCTCTGAGAGAAGGTTGCTGAAACCAACCTGCCTCCTCCAAGCCAGGGTCACTGGGATGTTTGCTGTGATATCAGAGGGAGCATTCAAAGCCTTGTCTGAAGCTCTTGGCATTGCGGGACTTATTCTGAAACATCCCCTTGAAATTCTTGCTGGCTGACCCCTATCAAGGACTGGATATGACCCTTGCAGAAGCTAAGCAAGCAGGAAGAACTGAAGAAGTGAGTTTTGCAAGTAGTGCCACTGGTATGGAGGGACTGGTAGAGGCTTGGGACTTCCTTGAAAATGGACAGTTTCCTTTAAAATCCTGTTCGCTGTGACAGCTGTTTATTGCTGCTGTGGAGTGGGATTTAAGGGGAAGGTGGCACAGAGAAGCATTTCTTTAGTCAGAACACTTCCTTAAGGCACTTGAGATTGCTCCACAAAATGACTCTCATAAAGTGGCCAGCAGTTGCAGTGTCTTAGTGAAGGTAGTCCCTCTGCTGTCAATCAGGCATGGACAACAAATCTTCCTTTGAGGGGCTTGAGTGAAACTAGAAGGTGGCAAACACCACCATGCTTCCTTCTTGAAAAGATTTGAAAGCTACACATCTGCCTCCTCAAAGACATGGGCTACAGTAATGCTAGCATGTCAGTACAGATCTTACAATTAACCCAATACTGAGCTGCTGTTGATGATTTTTGAATGGTAGTGCTGGTAAGTCATGGAGAAAGCACATTCTTTCCTCTCTTTAGAAGCCATGTCATTTCTACAAGTTTAATTAAATACATGCTTTTAAAGAAGTAGCAGCCACTGAATTGGTGTTACATTATGTTCATGCTCCCTTAGGGTGGCTGACAAATTGCCTAGAGCCAATCTCCTCATATTCAAGCAGTTGCTGTCTGTGCTGCTCTACATCAGGCAAAATTCATCAACAAGCAGGATGGAGTCCAGAGATCTTGCTATCTGCATTGGACCAAATACACCGAGCGAGGAGAAACTGCTCCTGCTGGAGGTGCTGATGGAAGTAAAAGACAAGATATGCTGAATTTACAAATCACCTATACCAGTCTGAACCAATCAGAGCATTCCTGTTGAGAGGTACCTTGCTGTCTCCTCTCTTGAATTCTTTTGGAGGAGCTTTTTGTAGAAGCAGCAACACAGCTGCAGCTTTCTGCACAGAAGAAAGGGTCAGGAGTCAGAAAGGCTGTTTGATGCATTTTCTGCCCCTTGGACTGAAACCAGTGGGTTTATGTGTGCAGGTGAAAGTGCTGGTGGAGTTCGTTATTAACAAGTGCGTGGAAGTATTTGGGGAGATCGCTTGCTTTCTAAATCCCTCAGCTGAGGAGTCACCAGTGCCCATAGACAACTCTACAGGTATGGAGATGGAAAGAGAACCATCACAGGCTGCTGATCCTTTTTCCTTAATGTGTTACTGCATCTGTGAAAAGCCGAAGAGTTTCTCAGTGCTTAAGATACTATGGCAGTGTTTTTCTACTGGAAGGCTTCCCAAAAGTTCGGTGACAAATTAACAAAATAAAATTCACAGCAGATGTCAACCATCTGCCCTCCACATGCACATTAAGCACAGGGTCTGAGATCAATGCTCTTAGCTCAGCGGCATTTCTGGTGGGGCTGGAAACAGAATGTTGCTCGCTAAACTCAGCTCATCCTGAAGTCTGTGTTTTGCCATGGCCTCTCAGGACAAACATGCAATGAAGAAAAATTATTTTGATAACACCCGATAGTGGTAATGCTGTCAGTGTCCTGTCTTGGACTTGTGTTACCACGGTTAGTTAAGATATTGCACACAAAACATGCTTTTAGCTACATAAAACAGAGCTAAGAACTTCTGTGGAAAAAATCGTACATGTTGCAAATTTATTAGAAAACAAATTAGTTCCTCTAAGTTTATGCTTGGCTTAGATTCTGTAAACATTCTTTGGTTTCTTTTTTGGCTGTGGTTTGATTTAATGGCAAAAAATGGTATTTTAGCAGCTTTGAGGTGTATTTTTTCTCTTGAACTGCCACCAGCTCTCTTGATCTCCAAATTAAGAAAGTAAACCACACTTAAAGAATGTCTGAAGTAGACAAAAGAACCTGTGGGCTAGAAAAATGGGACCTGACAAGATGCCTTCCAGAGTCCTGAGGGAATTGGCTGATGTAGTTATCAAGACACCCTCCATGATATTTGAAAAGTTGTGGCAGTCAGGTGAAGTCCCTGGTGACTGGAAAAAGGGAAACACTGCACCTATATTGAAACAAGTAGAGAGGAGGACTCTGGGAACTACCGACCTGTCAGCCTCTGTGCCTGGGAAGATCACGGAATGATCCTCCTAGAAGCTACGCTAAGGCATGTGGGGGACAGGAAGGTGATTCCAGACAGCGAGCATGGCTTCACCAAGGGCAAGTCCTGCCTGACAAATTTTGTGGCTTTCTATGATGGAGTGACTGCATCAGTGGGCAAGGGACAAGCTACAGACATCATCTATCTGGACTTCTGTAAGGCCTTTGACGTGGACCCCCACAATATCCTTCTCTTTAAATTGGAGAGCTTGATTTGATGGGTGGAATGTTCATTGGATAAGGAATTGGCTGGATGGTTGCACCCACAGAGTAGTGGTCAATAGCTCAGTGTCCAGATGGAGATCTATGACAAGTGGTATCCCTCAGGGGTCTGTACTGGGACCAGTACTGTTTAATATCTTCATCAGTGACAAAGACAGTGGGCTCAAGTGCACCCTCAGCAAGTTTCCAGGTGACACCAAGTTGAGTGGTGCAGTTGACACACCTGAAGGATGGGATGCCATCCACAGGGACCTGGACAAGATCAAGAAATGGGCCCATGTGAACCTCAACAAGGGCAGGTGCAAGGTCCTGCACCTGGGTGGGGGCAACCCCTGGTATCAGTAAAGGATAGGGGATGACGGGACTGAGAGCAGCCCTGCCGAGAAAGGACTTGGGGGTACTGATGGATGAAAGGCTGGACATGAGCTGGCAATGTGCGCTGGCAGCCCAGAAGACCAACCATATCCTGGGCTGTATCAAAAGAAGGGTGGCCAGCAGGGCAAGGGAGGTGATTCTGCCCCTCTGCTCTGGTGAGACCCCACCTGGAGCCCTGCATCCAGCTCTGGAGCCCTCAGCACAGGAAAGACATGGACCTGTTGGAGTGGGTCCAGAGGAGGCCCCAAAAATGATCAGATGGATGGAACACCCCTTCTGTGAGGACAGGGTGAGAGTTGGGCTTGTTCAGCCTGGAGAAGAGAAGGATCCGGGGAGACCTTATTGTGGCCTTTCAGTAATTAAAGGGGGTGTATAACAAAGATGGGGACAAACTTCTTAGCAGGACCTGTTGTGATAGGACCAGGGATAATGGTTTTAAACTAGAAGAGGGTAGATTCAGACTAGGTATAAGGAAGAAATTTTGTATGGTGAGGGTGGTGGAACACTGGAACAGGTTGACCAGAGAGGTAGCGGGGACCCCATCCCTGGAAACATTCAAGGCCAGTTTGGATGGGGCTCTGAGCAGCCTGATCCAGTTGAAGATGTCCCTGCTCACTGCAGGGGGGCCAGACTAGGTGACCTTTAAAGGTCCCTTCCAACACAAATGGTTGATTCTTTGATTCTATGAAAATACATTATACCCTACCATTCTTCACCACAGTCTTACTCACTAGAGGTCACACTAGATGCGCTGATTTTTGCCTTTCTGGAGCTGGAATTCTGGCATGATTTTCTGCGCTAATCTTGTCAAAGTACATTTCCCCTGACTGAATTTCCAGAGTATTTAGGGTTAATTAATGGCACATGATTTTCTGTGTTGTATCAGCTAAAAAATTGCCTGCTTTTTCCAAAAAGATCTGTAGAGCAATTAAGCATTTGTGCATTTGTTCAGCTTTTTTTTTTTTTTACCTTCAGAATAGTCAGTGAGTTTAGGTACATTTGCAACAGGATTTTAGAACTCTCCTTTATAGTTTTGCCATTAGTTTTGCCACTTTTTTTCTTTTTATCGCCTTTTCATAAAATCTGTAAGGAATTAAAGAAAACACCCCACAGAGTCAATTGAGAAATGCTTCAGTACATTCCAGGCCAAGATGAAGACTTCATTAATCTACAGAGTTGTTTAAAATTTAATTGAATTCTGGTTGTGAAACTGGGAGATGACATTGTCAGTTTTTGTCCACTTGCATTTATCCATAAAGGTAACACTTCAGACAAATGTACACATCCTTACCAAATGGAGATCACTGAAATGAGACTAAAGGTCACAATGGGTTGATGTATTAAACCAAATGCAACTAAAATTAAGAGTATAATGAGAAGCATAAAGGCAAATGAGACATTATATCTTTTTGTGCACCATATTCCTGGAGGATGCTGTACAAGCTGTAGTTCTATTATAACCTTACCTCTTGTTTGTATTCATGAAATTAACAGTCATCTTTACAAAGTCCAGTAGGTGGGGATATTTTTCTGCATTTGAGCACAGATTATTTTTTTTTAAATCTCTATTACTAAACTCACCTGAAGAACAGACCAACACAGTCTGGGTGTTACTTTATTCAACCTACCTTTGTAGGCAAAAGATGGTGATTATAAGTCTTCTTAAAGTGCAGAATCAAAGATTTATTTGTAGCAATAGGTATG